GCTGGGGCCCCGCGCCTCCGCGTTCCCAGCCTCCAGCCCCGCGTGCCCGCAGATCCTGCCCGAGAGCTCGCTGCCTGCGTCCGCGGTTCGCCCCAGCTCTCGGTCGCGGCCAGCCCGGGTCCCGCATCTCTGGGCGACCCACGGTCATTTCCTAAATCTGAATTTTTAAATTCGTCCCAAGTTGCTCCATGTTGCCTTCCTCCTCGCCTGGAAACGTGATTCCTTGCTCTGAATGTCTTTACTGCTTCAAAAGGAAGGGAACTGCGGGGTTTCGTGTTCAGAACGTGGACGCCTATTGGGAATTTCGTGTTTTTATACGTGTATGGTGTCCTTGTACAAATTAGGTGATTCCTGAACCATGATTGGAGCTGTATTGGTGCTTGGTAGGTCTTCATTAGGATTTCATCATTGCTTGAAAGAAACCAGTCTCGTACCTGATAAAAATGTGAATAGATTGTTAGTCATAAACTTAAGTGCAGTCAGAAGAGGCTGTAGCTTTAAAAGAGATGTGTTGGTGACTTGAGGTACACCTGCACCACAGGTAGGGCAGGACTGGTTTCTAGGCAACTGTCAGGGGTGAAGAAAGGTGAGGTTTAAAATGCCTTTTTTTTTTTTCCTCCTGGAGAACAAATGTTCTGCAGTTTCAAGCTTGTATAAATCTGTAGGGATGCAGTGGGTGTACGTTTGTTGAGACTGAAACATCTGCGTTCTCTCTTAGCCTTGACTTAAAAAAAACTATTTCTTTACATTTCTCTAATTACAGTTTCGTGAGACATTGTGCTTACAGAGATGGAAGACAGTCTCTAGGTAGTGTATCAGCAAAAGTTTTCAAAGACAAAATAGAAGAAGCTGATTTCTTGCTAACCTGTTGGCTGTGATAGATTATAAGTATGTCATCAGCCTATCCCATTTCTAAATATTAAAGGTTTTTACATGGGTTTCAGATGGGGTCCTTCCCCTCATTTCCTGTAGAGGTTTCCCCCCACCAGCACCTGTGTGTTCTGCTGGACACTTTGCTAGTAGGTGGTAGAAGTCTTCAGCTATCAAGTTATAACCTGGCAGATGTATTAGACGGTAAACTCCTTCAGGGCAGGAACCCTGCCTTGTACAGCTTTTATCTTGCACAGCCTTGCACGTAACTGATGCTGATAAATAAATGAAGGAAGGCATGTTTTACATTGTAGGGCTCTGTCACTGATAAGGGTTGGAAAGTAAATCTTTTTTATGGTTGTTATGAAATGTCTGAAATTATTCGTAATTTTGACAGGCAAAATTGTTTTTTAGTACGTTGTTCTTTATTTTCAGTACACAGTAGGTTCTGGTTACCCTTCTGTGAGGTGTAATTAAGCTGTAGTCCTGAGTTTTTGTATGAAAATAACTCCTCACTGCTGCCTCTCGAGTTAAACTAGATGATACTTCCTTTCTGCTTATACTAATGGTAGCTTTTAAAAGCAAGTTGCCTAAATTACAGGTCCAATCTAACATGCTGGAAACTGACCTGATCGTCAGCATACCGCCAGGTTGCTTTAGGAAGCTGAGCAGAGGAGGGAAAGGTGGTGCCCTGAATGTCGCAGTGGGATCTGAATGTCGCAGCTGCCAGTACCAGCAAAGCTCTTGCTATTATTCTCAGTGAGTGTGAACTGGTACCGCATCCTCAGGATACACTTAGCGTCCTTTGCAAGTGTTTGGCCGTGCTGTATAAAAGCTAATGAGTAACCGCCTCACTAGATAAACACGATCCAGTTGTGGTATTCTGGTATTATTCACATAGTGTAAACACACTTATAAAGGTAGATAAAACTGGTGAGTTTCAGGGTCCTGACTGTAAGTCACTAGCTTAACAGAATTAGTGTTAAGGTAGAAAAAATTAGTGTGGGATTCAGATTTCATAAGGTGAGAGGAGGAAAGATTCTGAGATTTGGGGTTTTCATTGATCCTCTGGTCCAGTCCCTTATGCCATAGATCAGTGGTATTACACACAGGCCACACTTGCAGGCCTCCGTGAACGTATCTTTAACATGTGGGACTTGGACTACATAAGACAAAGTCCAAACCCAGAAACAATAGAACGGTAAGGGCTGGAAGACATAGGAAACTTGCCTAATTAGAGATTGTTTTTTAGAAAACACTGTTCGCTATGTGTGTCGCTGTGTGTAGAAGGCTCTTAAAACTCTTCTCAATGGCTACTTCTTTTTCATCCTTCAGATTTTGGTTTTAAGGCACCTGCTCAGCTAGACCTTCCCTAAACACCTGTGTAAACAGTGTTCTAGTCTACCTCCCTATGCTGTCGCAGTCCCCAGCTGCTTTCCTTGAAAGTTACCTTGGTCTGCATTTGCTGAAGTTGCTTGCGTATCTGTCATCCCTGCTACTCATAACTCAGATACTTCACAGGCAGCATCTCTGTCTTCATCACTTCTTACAGTACCTAGTCCAGAATCAGTGTCTGTGTGAAAAGAATTAGTCCTTGCCTCTAAGAATTTGAGAGGAGCACAGAGTTGAGTCCAGTACGCATCTCTGCATCTAGCACTTAGCAGTCCTTTGCTTCAGTCTCTGCAATTACACACAGGACTGTTAGGAGAAAGCTGAGGACATGTAGAGAGGAAAGGTCACGAAAGTGTCCCAGGGAAGCCCTGACTTACAGAGAAGAGCCCTGATGGCTCTGCTCATGCCTCACTTCATTTCCTGACTTGCAAAATGGAGATCCTAATCCTTGCTCTTAGAGGGGTGTTGTGTGGATCAAGTGAGACAATGTGTAAGGAAGTGCTTTGTAATTTGTAGAGTGCCCTGCAACACGAGGTGCTCAATTGTGGATTTTACAACAGAATCTGGCTACCAGGTCCTCACTGGGGTCCACACTGTGGTAGGGTATTGTGGAAGGCCTGTAGGGTGTGTGTAGTATTCCCTTTGACAAGTCAAGTCAGACCTATACTATATCAAACACGGAGGTATGACAGATTTTGTGCAGTGGGGTATCAGAGTGTCATTAAAAATTGAGAGCTCGGAGAGAATTGTTGCTAATGGTTGTAGGTGGTCAGGTTGATACCATAACACACCCATTTTACATGCATGAGCCAAAAGCACAATTAATGATGTCATAGGAATATTTAAGGGAGCTGAAGTAAAATTTCCTTAGGTTCCAGATTATCCCTGCCCATGAAAACTGTTACCAAGCACAATCTTCCCCGCCACCAAATGTCTGTACACTGTCCGTAAAAGTCAGGCATTGTGCTAGATGAGATCTTATCCCCAGGCGACTGCCGGAGAGGGCAGTTGTACAGTGGTCAAAGCCTGGACTTGGAAGCCACCTTCCTCACGTCCACCTGGCCTCTGGATCACCAGCTTCCACCTGGAGCAGCTTTCTTAATTTTCTGTGCCTCCAGCTCCTGTGTAAATGAGAGTAGTAGTGGAAACCCATGGCCGGGCTAGGGAGAGGATTGAGTAAACATACTTGAAGCAGGCACAGCATCCAGTGCCTGGCAGATAAGCGTCCATGGATGCTAGTTATTATTAATGGTTGTATGTTAATTGTAGCAATCCAGAGTTACCCATTGGGTAACCTAAATGCTTGTTAAATAAATGTGAAGTTTTAAAGACTCACTTCCCGTCATTAGGCCATTGTGTTCATTGTCATTAAGATTCAATGGATTTCACAGATCTTTCACAGTTAGAAATCTATTGTATGTGTGTGTCAAAAGGGAATATGTGTCTGTTTGTATTAGAAGTATTGTTGTGCTCTGTAGGAAAGGAAGAAGATGATACGTTTCTGCTCTCTGGTTTTCTGCAGTCATATGTGCATTGTGTGGGGCCAGTGCATCAAAAGGCTATTGATTATGGCGGCTGCGCGAGTGGTTTTTGTGAGCTTGCCATTTCTTAAAATACTTGCTGGAAAGTTTCTGAATTGTTGAAGAAATCATGTCATTTAATTTTGATTTTGATAGTCTGAAGACAAATTTTTTGCTTTGTTGCTTCCATTG